GTAGATGTCCGGATTTGCAAATAGAGGTTGTCCCGGTTAGACAAACTGGTTGAGAATGAAAAAAGATTTACTCCAGCCCGCGAGCTTTGCATTTGGGATCCGAAACATGGCAGAAATCGGCCGGGAGTGTGACATGCATCCTAAGAAAGAATGAAAATGACATATCTGCTTTCGGAGAGGATACTTCCTTATGAAATTTTGTAACTGGTGTCTTATGACAAACTGTTGGAAAGCTGCAGATACAATGGACATCGCAAATCAGGGACATTCTGTTTGCGGAAACGATTTGTAGTGACAGTCTCAAGAATCACAACACTAGCAACCTTATCTCGCCAAATTCACCTGCTACCCGTTTTGCGCGTGGCGTATGCCTGATATGCATTTTGCAGGCTTTCTTCATTATTTCTCAGATAATGAACTGCGGATATGCAGTTGCAATTCATCGCCTTCTTAGTTTTTCGTTCATCAAAGTATCGTTTTCTTCATTAATAGTTAAGTTCACGGTCTTGTCTTACTATTTATGCCAGCTGATTGCGTAATGGCTTTCTTTTACTTTCTTTGTTGCAATCTCGGTTGTGTAGTTTCAGTTACTTTTTAGGACATATAAATCGATGGAACGAGAGTTATGATATATAATATTTATATGTCCAGTGCCCTAAAGGACTACTGGGGGAGCAGTAGAGTTGCCGCCAGCGTAAGGTAATAGCAGTTGTACATTAGAGGACCCAACAAAGCGCACTGACATTACTGGTAGCTATATGCACTGTGAATAGTGACCTGCTTCATTTTTCACAAATGTGAAATGAGCTTTGATATGTTAATTAGCGGATAACTAGCTTGGAGAGCTATTTAAATAAGTTAAGACTCCATGATGTTTGAGCATCAAAAGTTTCTACATGAATTTCACGTTATTTTATTAACCTTACTTTACAATACATTACTAGTCACCGGTGATAATTCACCATACTGATTCTTGTATGCATTGCGAAACACAAAAGATCCACTGATCAGAGCATGTGGCTATGCTAAGGTCCGTCTCACGATTCAGATTACGTATACATAATGTTTCAGTGCCTTTTATGCTATGTTCATATGGCATCATTTTATAACTTAGATCAGTACCTTTCCCTTTATTGGTGAAGTTTTAGGAGGCGGTTTATTTGTTATCGCAAGAAACAAAAATGAATTTTTAAGCACAGGTAATTCAGTGTGCGCATGATTAGACTAAACTGCTCACGGAGTCATTCCTTCACAACACCACCAGGTATTGTTTGGCGACGAGCAAGGTATTGCTCTAATCAGCAAAATAGTGCGAGGTACTTCTATGCACTGCAGGTGATCGAATGCTATTAGGCAATGATCTACTTTAATCGTCCTTCGGCATCTAAGATTGTGGGCGTATCACATCGCCATTAAGTCCAGTTTGATAGAGTTGTGCATTTATGTTCTTGCTTGCGTACCATATGTCCTAACAAATGCCATGACTATACCTGTTAGACAACATGGAATTGTGCGGTATGTCAAATTTTGCGTGGTTGTCAATTAGTAGGCCAGATTTGGCAGTTTGTTTCTTTCCGTTACAGTTATTAAATATTGTGTTATTCGGTCTACACTAAAAACTAGATAATTTGGAGATCTTGTTCAAAAAGAAACTTTTAAATATAGTTAATGAGGATGGGCAATGCAATTTGTCAACTTCGCTGGGGTTCGACTACAAAGTAGAGTATAATTCTTTATATTAGTTTCTATCTCCGTGAAGCAAAACAGCGTGGGTCTGTGGAACTAGCCCGCGTATCAAGTCGGTCCTCGATGACTCTTGAACAGTTGGGATGGCGTGGTTCTTTAGTGCGCTTATGTCACCGCCTATGAACCTTATTGTCATATTTTTTTGTTGCGAGCTTTAAAAGGGGAGGATTGTATTGTAGGTAATCTACCTGTTAACTGGCTCTGTTACAAAAATAAGGTAAATGTGCAAAATGGATTAACAGCCTGCCGCGGGACTGCCTTATCGAGCAACCACTTCAACCCAATCTTTGATTGCGTCTTAGGTAGCTTACCTTATTGCCGCATCAGTTTTGCCTACACGCAGTTACAAACTTATACCTTCCAAACTATAGACTGGTCCGTTATAAGAAGATCCTTCTTCCCTTCTATGCGTTCAAAAGAATTTCTAGAATCTACGGCCATTTTTCGCGTTCCCCTTTCGCCTACGGAACGCAAATCAATGCCAGTAGTGACGGAATTTCTGGTTATTGCTTGACCGGATGGGACTTGAATCATGTAGACGGTTTCTTCCGCGCTGCTACAGTAAATTAAACTGTCTCAACTGAAACAGTTGTCAAATCGAACGTTTTAACACGACCGTCTTTAGATTCTTGCGACTCTGGGACGATTGGACGTTATCGACAAGGAACGCGTCATGATGTACATTCAACAACGCCAGAATGAAGATGGAAGCTTCTCAGGCGATGAATGGGGTAAACATTGTCGCATCTGACAGTGACTTTTCCAAAGTGGATTTACTTAGGCGAAGTTGATACGAGGTTTTCGTTTTGTGCCATTGCAGCTCTCGCCTTGTTGGTGAGAAATTTTTTCTACTTTTCATCATGTTGTCTGTGGCGGCACCGACTTGTGATTTCGTAGCCTGCTGTGATTTATGAGGTTACATATCTTTCCTTACTGCAAGAAGTTGTAACATCAGTTGATTGAATACTGAGATTCGTACTCTGTGTCGATAGACCATATCAGATGGCATGAGAGTGATGTTCGAGCATGTTAAAATTTTATGTACGTATAATGCGTCTTGATCTAATTCCTTTTGTTTCATTCGTCATTACTTCTATTTACTGCAGAGAATGTTAATCTGTGAGTGGACTCGTCTTCCACTGTTATTGCTGCTGTCACCATCGGATGGTAAATAGCGCCCTAAATTAACGACACTTTTGACTTGATTGCTATAGTAGCTCAAATTTACCCGTGAAATTCGTCACATGCCTTTCATACGGAGTATTCCAGGCTTGAGTATCAGTGGCGAAAAGTTTTACTTGCTTGATAGATATGCCGCCGAGTACTCGGTGCTCTTCTGTTTTTGTAGAAAAGGGTGCAAATTCCTTTCCAGAAACGGTAGCACGCTTAAAGAGGTTGACTAGTTGAAGTATCACGGCTCCATCGTCTCCAGCAATGGTACCATTCAGGCAGAGTTAAATAGGAAGATTGTTCTCACCTAGAATGCTTTTGTATATGCTTTCCAATATTTCGGCTGAGAAAGGAATCTCTCCACAAAAATCAGCTGGTACCGTACCTCTGTCAGATCAGTGTTGTTGTACGACACTGAGGCAGTTATTTTAACGGGGGAGGGTTGGACTGCGTGCAGAAACGTTAGCTTCGACGCATAATGAGTGCTGAATGGAAGGGCCACCTAAGGAATGACTATTCTGTTTGGGTACAAGTGAACCCCTTAGAGGTGGAGATTGAGAAAAGAAGGTTG